TATACCTCCCCGTGGATGATTTGAAAACCATCATCACTTTCATAGTTCTTCTATTATCCACGAGTGCCAACTTTGATTTCTCGCGTCACTTTTCAAATAGATCAATGTAACATATCCACCATTTTGAGAAAATCGAAGTTGAAGTTCGACAGATTATTATTTCAACTGTTTAAAAACAATACATTTTGCAATACTATTTTTAATGTAGTCAGTGTATAATAACGTTGAAAATTCAGAAGAAACGGTAAAATCACAATTTTACTTTGAATTTCATGCTACAACATAGAAAAAACCACATAGGACGTTTTGACAAGTCGAGTTGTACATCGGACATGTTACATTGGACGATTTTTCTCAATGACATAATCAATGAGTGTTACATTGGACGTTTTGTCTACATGATACTAGATTCCCTTTCACAGATTTCAAAGTATAGTACCTAACTTTAGATTGGCCTCGCCTTTGGAAAATGAGCACCAATCATGTTAGGCAGTCCGAATGACCGAAGTAACAATCATGTACCCATCATTTCAAACTGTACATTGGACAATTTTTGATCAATGATTATCTTAAATAAATGAAAGTAAATTTGGATGGATGTTTTTATATCACATACAATGACAGAAGAGCAATAGTTTGTATCGCTTAACTCGATTTGTTTACATTTGTTACATTGGACTATTTGAAAAGTGACGCGAGATTTGCCAATTGAGTTCTCCAAGCAGGATCTCACGAACACTACGCTAATAACATAATTTTACACACACTAGCGTATACTGGCATGTGCACGGTAAGAATCAAACATCCATTTATGAGTAAAAGTGAACCCATTGTCAATAAAAGCGGCACCACTAATTAATGAGTAATTCATTATGTCAATTAAGTAGTAACTGTTAGCTACTGTTAGCAGAAACGCATTGTTGTTAAAATAATTTTCTCATTAATGAGTAATACCACCTTTATCAAAACTGGGTTAACGTTTACTCACAAAAGGGTACTTGACTGTTACCGTGCAAGCGTAAGGTTTGTTTTCGTTTTGTTGTTTATTTTTACTTTAGAATGACAGTTCTTACAGCAAACAAAAAATTTCTCACAGCTAACAAAAAATTTCATCTCACTAACACACGCAAATCGCACCAATACGAACCCGGCTGGAGAGGACTATTACACAGTGGTTGTTCACCGTGTTTATGAATCTTCATTCATTTCTAGACAAATTATTCAAAAGGTCCTATCTGATTTGATCGATTCTCTTCGACTTTCTCTTTTGATAATCACGGCTATACAAACATATTTCGTGCTATTTTCGACACAAAGTTTGATAAAAGAAATTCTTATCTAGCGCTCAGAACGTCAAATACAGTAGGGAATGTTTTTGTAGCAGAGTTTTTAAAGGAAAGAGAAAGTCTACGAAGAGAATCGATCAAATCAGATAGGACGTTTTGAAGAATTCGTCTTGATTCGCCCTCGCCTCTATGCCAATACAACCTAGCTAGTAAGACCAGAAGGTCCCGAAGAAACGTGCTCAACTTTTTAGCTCAGCTCTGGTACTATCTTCGGGCCCAAGCTAATCGATGCACCCCTTGAAACATAGGAAAATCCACGAACCCCTCATTTTATCTGTCAAACTTTTATAGAGAATCAAAACAGACAGTGTAGTACTAGAATTTCGACTAGAATGGGGTACGCTTATAGATGTATTTGGGACCAATAGGCCAGTCAAGTAGTGAGCCAATTTAAAATCGTAAGTTTCCACCGGTTTAGCAGTGTAAAATTTGTTTATTTATTATTTTCAACCAAGAATGTAGCTGTCAAAGTGTTCGACGTGACAGCGTTTTTTTTTTTTTTCTACCAGTAAAATGCATGTATCAGTCAAACAGCTCACTAATACCACAAACCAAGTGACAGACGGAGCGGCTCGAAAGCTTTGGTGACTAACCTGCTATTGCAATTTTTCAGTGTACCACATGGCAACACCACTACCACTGGATTGTACCACATGGCAACACTACTACTGGATTGAACTAGCATTTTCACCAAATGTACTAGAATTTTTTGGTTCTATCTCTTTCACTCTACTCATAACTGGAATGCATAAAAAAAAATTACAAAATGATATACACTCTTTGCACACTGTCAAAGAATCATTGTACACAAAATCAACTTTGTGCAAAACCAAAACAAAAATACTATCCCATCTGGTGGATGATGGCACAAGCTTCTAAAAAAATTCTATTACAGCGAACCACATTATTTTAATTGATTTCTTCGCCAGTTAGTCGTCTGTCACTTCATTTGTGCTAATACCATAGAGGTAACTCTAAGACCAGAAGGTCCCGATGAAACGAGCTCAACTTTTTGGCTCATCTCTAGTACTCTCTTCGGTACCAAGCTAATCGATGCACCCCTCGAAACATAGGAAAATCCACGAGCCCCTCATTTTATCTGTCAAACATTCATAGCGAATCAAAACAAACATAGTGTAGTAGAAGAATTTTGACAAGATTGGGGTACGTTAATCGATTTGCTTGGGACCAATACTGCCGCTATTCGCATAACAGTCCTATGTAAAGGGCGAACACGAAATTATTGCGACACCGAAAATGTCATGCCAATTTTCTTATAATGTTTAGAATCAAACCAAAATTTTAGGGTAGTTTTATACATATATTTACTTCAAAAATCAAAAGAAAAATTAATCGATGGAGCCTTGAGTGTAAAATTGAACGCATTTTCGCTTGATGCCCTCCATAAAAGTCTTTAAAGTGTCATCCGGTGCCAGTTTCTCAGTTTTTTTTTTCTATTTTCTTAACATGTCCTTCTCGTCTTTGACTGTCTTCTTGCTCTTCCGAAGTTCCCGCTTCATTATTGCCCAGTACTGCTCCACCGGGCGCAGCTCCGGACAGTTTGGCGGATTCATGTCCTTTGGAACAATTGGCAATTTTAGAATAGTGGCATGATGCCAAATCTGGCCAAAATAGCGGAGCTTCGTCATCCTCAGTCCGCAAGAGCAGATGGCCTGCCAAATGAGATATTTGGAGGCGAACTTCGACATTTTCTTCTTCTTAAATTTGTCGTCCACATCGAACTTGCTCTTGCCGGTGAAAAACTCCAACCCCGGAATTTGCTTAAAATCGGCATTTATATACGTTTCGTCGTCCATCACACAGCAGCCATATTTTGTCAGCATCTTCTCGTAGAGCTTCCGTGCCCGAGTTTTAGCCGTCGATTGTTGCCGCTCATCGCGGTTTGGGAAGTTCTGTACCTTGTATGTATGTAGTCCAGCTCTCTTCTTTGCATTCTGGACGTAGCTCTGCGACATGCCGATCTTTTTAGCCAAATCACGGCTTGAGACGTTGGGATTTGCTTTAATCATCCGCTTCACTTTTCCCTCCGTCTTTTTATTCTCCGGTCCCGGTTTTCTTCCAGCTCCTTTGCCGTGGTCCAACGTCAACCGCTCCTGGAACCGCTTCAACACTCTGGAGACGGTTGAATGGTGAATGTTCAACATTTTTCCCAACTGCCGGTGCGACAGGTCAGGAAATTCCAGGTGTTTGGAAAGAATTTGTTCTCTCAACTCGCGTTGGTTCACCTCCAGTTTCGTTGAATCGAAAAACACGACTTCGAGTTTGACAGCATGTACACAATACACATCAATGAGAAAGTGTGCAAAATTTGGTTGATTTTTACCCAATGGTAAAAAAGTTATGCCCTGTTGAATGTGTCGCAATAATTTCGTGTTCGCCCTTTAGTTAGGAAATCCATAGGACATGGGACTGTTATGCGAATAGCGGCAGAATTGGCTAGTCCAGTAGTGAGCCAATTTAAAATCGTTAGTTTCGTATTGATTGTTGCTAATACCAACAATCAATACGAAACTAACGATTTGAAATTGGCTCACTACTTGACTAGCCTATTTGTCCCAAGCAAACGATTAACGTACCCCATTCTAGTCGAAATTCTACTCCTACGCAATGTTTGTTTTGATTTGCTATGAAAGTTTGACAGATAAAATGAGGGGTTAGTGGATTTTCCTATGTTTCGAGGGGTGAGTCGATTAGCTTTTGACCGAAGAGAGCATCAGAGCTGAGCCAAAAAGTTGAGCACGCTATTTCGAGACCTTCTAGTCTTAGAGTTACCTCTATGCTAATACTAAAGGTGGCAGATAAGTCTATTATCCTCGTATTGAATCCCGATCAAGAATGTCCGGCTACTTTGATGTCGACATCATAGTTAATCAACACGACTTTAAACGAACATTTTGCTGATCATCCAAACAGGGTTGGTATTAAAAGTTAATCCGATTTGGAGCATACCGCCTTTTTTGTACGCTCATCCGACAAAATGATGGCGGTACTATCTGGGTTAGACTCGCTAATCCGACTGTCAAATCCATACTAAAAAATCAAAACAAACAGCATGCTTACAGCACATATCTGAAAATAGACAGCACAATGTATTCAGAAGCGAGATTATGCTATTTAATCTGACATTTTCCAGATTAACGGGGTCCGTATCTAGTCGTCGGATGAGCCCCCCTGTATACTGAGCTGATCAATTTATGCTATTTTGTCATTTTTACACAATTCTATCTTTCTTGAATTGCTGTAAAACTGACCATAACAACAACAGGCTTGTAGGTTATTGTCAAGCAACCACATATTAGTTTTTTCAGCATTTGGACAACTAGAATCAAAGTCAGTGAAATTTACAATAATGCTTCCATAATAATTTCCTTACAAATTTCAAACCATTTGCGTGACCAAACTTCATCAATCTTTACCGCTTTTTGCAGTGACTCATATTTTGGGGTGATGAATCAAACTGCTGAGTGGCCTATATTAAATCTAACACTGTTTTCTAAAATGAAGCACCCCACTGTATACCACTTGAAGCGCAAACTGTTCTACACTATTCGTTGGCTGGCATCATTGGCATGCCGATGGAGATGCTCTTATTCACTCTGGTGAACATCGGTCGAACTGAACTGACAACAAAAGTGAGTCATTCGTCGCAGGTCGCAGTTGCTAGTGGGCAGCAGGAAAGCAAGAACAAAATATAGATCGAAATCGAACGGATCATGCACGGATTCGAGTGTAGCATTAATTTTTAGTATTTCTAGTGAAAATAAAAATATGCCTAAGGCCAGTCTAATTTCGCCGCGAAAAAGTAGTACTCGTTCGGTCGAATTTGTGTTAGTATTAGCCGTGGTGTTGCAATCCTTCGGCACTACCGCCGTAGTTAATGGCTCGTTACTTAGTGAAGAAAATGGGAAAAGTCTTGCCAGCAACGATGTTGCCACTAATAAGGACGATGAAGATAACTTTAGAAGTAAACATTTGCTGCTTATGACCGCGACCAGTGATTTGACCGGATTTGGGCTAAACGATGAACTTCTGGTGAGATTGGTGCATAGTGAAGAAGACTGCTGGAGGCAAGAGGTTCCGGCCTTCGACGGAAGAGCACGTATCTTAGATCGAAATGATACGCATATGCAAGTGTCGGTGAAATTCTACAACCATCAGCAGAAGCACTTCATAACCGATAGTGGTGGGTTGCTCAATAGCCGTCGACGACAGTGGATAGTTGGTGTGTGTGCGATGGCTGCTAACGAGCAGAAGGGCAACGATTTGTTTTACTTGCCGATTTCCATCTCATCGGCGCAAACGAAGAAGAATGAGATACCGCGAATACAGCGTAGTATCGCTAGTGATGGAGACGAGGGGGTGAACAGTGTTGCAGAATCGGTGGTAGCAGCGGTAACGACTTCGAGTCAGAACCTGATGATACATGGCCTTCGCGTTGAATATGCCGATAAGGAACCGACCATAGACGAGGATGCTGTTCCGTCTGTGTTGGCTCACTCTTCCGTAACGCTCCGGCTGTTCGGCACTGGATTGAACGAAAATACAATGGTTATTTTTACAAATGAGCATAATGTATATGGAGGTTCCTGTCTGGTACCGGTGACCAATAAATTCCGTGTTACTAAGGAATCTATCACCGAGCACAGTGCATTGGTCCGTATCGAGCTTCCGCCTGGAACGAATGGTAAATACTTTTATGTATGTGCAAAGTATGAAACCACCATCGAAACTGCTTCCGAACAGTTGGCCAAAGCGGTGGAACCATTCATACACCAGGGATCCAAACCGTGGATGCGTATGACTAGCCATGAACCATTCCTACCACTTTGGTTCTCACTTATCATCATCGGAGTTTGCCTGATGTTTTCGGCACTGTTTTCTGGATTAAATCTGGGTTTGATGTCGCTGGATAGGACCGATTTGAAGATCCTGTGCAACACCGGGACGGAAGAGGAAAAACGTTTTGCACGTGCCATTCAGCCCGTTCGAGATCATGGAAACTTTTTGCTGTGCAGTATTCTGCTTGGAAATGTGCTGGTAAACTCGACGTTCACTATATTGCTGGACAGTTTGACATCTGGATTGATTGCAATTATCTGCTCCACGATCGCGATTGTGATTTTCGGCGAGATAACACCGCAGGCCATCTGCTCTCGTCATGGTTTGGCCGTCGGAGCCAGAACGATACTCGTCACCAAAGCTGTTATGTTGGTAACGTTCCCATTGTCTTACCCAACTTCGAAAGTGCTTGATTATTTGTTGGGCGAGGAAATTGGCAACTTCTACAATCGGGAGCGCCTGAAGGAACTTGTTAAAGTGACGACCGACATAAACGACTTGGACAAGGATGAAGTTAACGTTATCTCCGGTGTGCTGGAGTTGCGGAGGAAAACTGTCGAAGATGTAATGACACGCATCGAAGATGCATTTATGTTATCACTCGATGCTGTGCTAGACTTTGAAACTATCACCGAGATAATGAAGTCAGGCTTCTCTCGGATACCGGTGTATGAGGGAGATAGGAAAAATATTGTTACACTGTTGTACATCAAAGATCTAGCGTTCGTTGATCCGGACGATAACACTCAACTGAAAACGCTCTGTGAGTTCTATCAGAATCCGTGTCATTTTGTGTTCGAAGATGTAACATTGGATGTGATGTTTAAGCAGTTTAAGGAAGGCCACAAAGGTCACATGGCATTTGTACACCGAGTCAACAATGAAGGCGAGGGTGATCCGTTCTATGAAACTATTGGGTTGGTAACACTCGAAGACGTCATAGAGGAGCTGATCCAGGCGGAAATTATGGATGAAACTGATGTTTTCACGGACAATCGCCGCAAGGTACGACGAGATCGTAGCAAACTTCGCCAGGACTTTACAGTATTTACTCAGGGTCGGGACACCACCTCCCAGCGTTTGCGCATTTCTCCACAGCTCACACTGGCCACGTTCCAGTACTTGAGCACCTCGGTGGAAGCATTTAAATTGGATATGGTTTCCGAAACAATTCTCCGTCGTCTGTTGAATCAGGACATTGTCCACCACGTCAAACACAAAGGAAAAGACCGAAATGATCCGAGCATGTTCATCGTCACCCGTGGAAAACCGGTGGACTTTTTCGTGCTCATTCTGGAAGGTCGCGTTGAAGTGACCGTCGGCAGGGAGAACTTAATTTTCGAGAGCGGCCCATTTACTTACTTTGGAACGCAAGCATTGATTCAAAATGTAGGCGTAGATATCCCAGTGGACTCGCCGCAGCAAATCATGGGTTCTCTACAATCGCTCAACATGGATGCCCTGTTGCGTCACACCTTCATACCGGATTACACCGTCAAAGCGGTGACCGAGGTGGTGTACATCCAAATCAAGCGGAACCTGTACTTAGCGGCCAAACGTGCTACCCTGATGGAACGTTCTCAACGTTTCGGCGATCAGTCACTGGAACCGATCGACGACGAGGTCGAAAAGCTGCTGCACTCGCTGGACGAAGACGATCGAAGCTATGGAGCGGACACCGTGGCTAACCTGCACACTCCGAAGGCCAGCAAACCTACTAGCAACGCCCCGTCACCGACGACGGTGCTATCCGATCACAACAATGGACCAGTGCCGCCCAGTAGTCTCAGCGTCAGTGCTGCCAACATGCGCACCCACAGTCTAGCGGTCACGTTCGACGATTCCGAGAAGCCCTTGCTGACCCGTTCCAAATCCTAATGTTTGTTCCCAGAGAGCTCTACAATATACTGTTTTTTGCAAAGTAAGTTGAACGTAATGTTTGTAGTCCTGGTTGTAGTCAAAGATTAATATTATCATTAAACAACAAATCAAAGCTATTATTATATATAAGATGAATTAATAAAAGAAAGTTTTATTATTTTCGTCCTAACGTTAAACAAAAGAATTAACAGATGATAGTAGAATGTAAGCGAAAAATTTCATCCTAGCTGGTTATAGCTCTCCCGGTGTGGGGAACCGTGTTCAAATGAGGTGTGTTCATTTTGCGGAATATTCGAAAACCCCCTCAGCAAAAAACGACGAACATTGGTTCCACCTCCAAACAATTTGAAATCATAACTACACAGTACCTATGTAGGTGAAATCACGAATTAAGTTCCTTTGTAGAGAGAAAAAAAAACGAAAAGAAAAGAAGACACGTCACGTTTCGGCTTGGAGATATCCCCGCCCCACATTAGTAACTGGATGGCATTGAAGAAAAATGCAGGTATTAGTTTTTATTTAATGATGCTACACAGAGTTTACACATTTAAAACAAAAATCGTCCCAGAGCATTTCATTACTGCAATTTAGAAAACTTGTTGTGCATTACCATGAATCAAAGCAGGAAATTATGCGAATAAAAATTACTTTTCACACATTTGAATGAGCTTTTATTTTCATTTGATTGGCTTGGTAGGTAGTCTGCGTTATTTCCGTTTCCCGTGTCATTAACACTTTGTTACCTTTCTGTTTATTTAAAAATGATAATCCTATCTATATCTTAAGAAAGATCATTCGAAACTGAGTTATCTGGGGAAATGACATAGAAACTGAAGTCCATCTTACTTGTTTAACTAATTATCGCTTCTACGCAGCCGTACTTATCTGAAAATTATCATGATGTCGACAAAAACTATCCACCTACTGATAAATCTGACGTTCTTACACATGGGAAAGTTAACCAGCGCACACAAAAACAAAATGTTCATGTCAAAGTTACCTAAAAACATGCTTACCTAGCTTTATCATTTATCAAGTAAAATCGGCGGCAGTGAATCTGGAGCTGGTTATTCACTGATTTTTTCATATGGAGCGCCCATAATCTTATCTTTGGGATGTACACACAATATACTGCCGTCCTTCGCATGTCGATCCCATAGTCGTTTTTGTCAAAACCTAGTTTTTCAATGCAAATGGTAGCTAATTACCCATATTTTCATGATACTGGATGAACTCATCAACTTTGTTCTGAAAAAGTTTGGAAAGACAGTCACATTGGTTGTCTCATCACATAAGAAACAATGCAAACTTAAAACGCTATTTTCTAGGATTGCCGATTTTCGCTATGGTACGGACATGCGAAGAGTGGCAGAATTATACTAGGTCTCTTAAAACTAGGATACGGGTAAACTTGTCTGCTATCAGCTCGCCATTAAGCATACGCACATGAAATTTTTCGGATATTTGCCTGTTTTCGTTCGGATCGGATACACCACGCATTTTTTTTTTTTTGTATGGCGTATCCGATTCAAACGCAAACAAGAATGAAGGCGATTGGCTTTTCAGTTTAATGGTGGATCAAAACGCTAGGATGCTTGGTCTTCTTCAGAGTATATAAAGTTTCGTTCAGCCCAAATGATCATAAACTAAAAGTAGTCCTGATGTAGATCCCAATTCCTGGATCTTTTTCTTGAAGAATATTAGCTGAAACAAAATGACTAATTCTTCAAGATCTTTAAGTTTCCCCGAAAGTCTAGACTTTTCTTTAATGTTCGGAGCTACGCAGCTAAGAAAAACGTAATTTCAACTAAGTGATGAAAAAGTTTTGAAGTTACTAGAGACTCCATAACTTATTGCATTAATGTACCTCTACTATTGGTGGAGGTACATTAGTGCAATGTGTTCCATTTGATCCATTTACCCTAGCGATTAGCTATTGTGTGTGTGTGTGTGTTTGTGTATGTGTGTGTGTGTGAGTGTGTGTGTGTGTGTGTGTGTCTGTGTGTGTGTATGTATGTATGTGCGTGCGTGCGTGTGTGTGTGAGTGTGTGTATGTGTGTGTGTGTGTCTGTGTGTGTGTATGTATGTATGGGCGTGCGTGCGTGTGTGTGTGTGTGTATGTGTGTGTGTGTGTGTGTGTGTGTGTGTGTGTGTGTGTGTGTGTGTGTGTGTGTGTTTGGTGTGTGTGTGTGTGTGTGTGTGTGTGTGTGTGTGTGTGTGTGTGTGTGTGTGTGTGTGTGTGTGTGTGTGTGTGTGTGTGTGTGTGTGTGTGTGTGTCTGTGTATGTGTGTGTGTGTATTCCCTCTAACCCCCACTGGCCGGCAGTGTTATTATGGAAGAACTCTCTCCACAATGTCGCATTTATGGTCATTGTAGACAGCTTTAGTCCGGGAGTTAGAAGGTGATAGCTCATTTGCAGATCCAGCAACCCATTTCAGAATGTCTGGAGGGTCACGCCCATTCCGAGGTTACTTTCACTTACAATAAGCCCCGCATGTTTGCATCACCGTTATCAAATGGATATTGGTCGGTTTGATGTCCACCATCTGTTATTGAATTGCCATGGTGATCTGGGACGAGGCTCACGTCCAAAGACGCTGGTCCACCGAGCGCTCAGTGTGCGAAAGGAGAATGAAAGAAATACGAAAGGGATCAGTTTCAAGAAGTGACAGTTTCATCAGATTCCCCAACTAACCATACTCAAGCAAAGTAAGAATATACAAGCTATATTGCGACTATATGGTTACTTGGGTACTCATATGGCCATCAGAATGGTTCATCGGTTGCGAAGTGAAGTATTTCTGAAAGTGATGCGTAATATTTCTCAATGTTTTGATTTTATCCTAACGTTACCTCAATGTTATTTCACAGACAAGCAGACATAACACATTGAACATTTATCATTGTAAGCCCTACCGCCATCTGTCGGATACACTATGATGGGCAATACACTAAACAGATGGTTGTAGTGTGTAAACGTCAAACGCTAGGGAATTGATTATGTGCACCACAAGTGACAGTACTACCAACTAAGAAACATTTAAATTGACCATTAAAAACGATTTTGGTGAACGTTTTAGGAGTGTTATGTCTGCTTGTCTGTGATCATACCTTCACTATCGCAACTTCGGGTAATCAGCGAAAGTACTTGCATTTTTCTCAGGCACTTTTGATCTAACTGCAATTATTCTCTCATACTTGAAATGTGCCACGACCAAATTGGCACAACGACGCCCTATACGCTCTCTGACCGAATCGCAGGGTTACCCTAGCGATAAGCTATTTCTACCAAAAAGCAATTTAGCTGAACTGCCTATAATCCCATATCAATCCCATATGCGATTCCCATGTAAATATTTGAAAAATCACAATAAATTTAATTTCTTAAAATCACTTGTATGTTATGTTGTATCAGCAAAATATGGCAACTCGAAAAGCAGAACTGTAGCTTCACATCTGGACGATTGAATTTGAGGATGGGACTGATATGCGATTGCTTTGCTTGAAGAGACAAACTGACTTTATGTTGTTTTCACATTTTTCATGATAGTCCGTAGTTTTATCACATCATATGAAAGTAGATGCCAATTGATAGTGGATAGTATTGTTATCTCAAAATTGATGAAAATCCATACGGGACTGATGTGCGATTATAGGCAGTGAAGTTGTGTACAACAAAAATATAGGGTTAACGCACCAATAGTTAGTACAATGTGTTCCTATAGTGGCTTAAGAAGTCTAACACATTGCACTAACGTACTTACACTATTGGCACCGACGAACCGACGTGACAACTTATACAAGCTACTTTCAAATTCGTGCCCAAGACGCCATATTTAAAATACGTTAAACACTACCGACATCTACTCATCCGATCGCGTCATACCATGAGCAAGGACACGAACACACATGTAATTTACATTGCCTTGGTTTGCGTCTCACCTCGTTTGATCACCCGTTTGAAAGTTCGAATCGCTCGTTTGACAATTCGAATTGTGGACAAACGAAATGCTCTTGTGGCATCTCGGTTCGTCGGTGCTATTGGGGCGTTTACCCTATATGATAGCGGGAGGGAAGGTTATATATGGTAAATTGACTAAAGGGTAACGGGATATGTTCTCGGTCTATGCTCTTTTCCGAACACATAGTTCGATATTTTTGTTATTGATGCTACTTTCCGTCATGATAAAACTATGGTGAACGAACAGTTTTAGGGTGCAGCACTACTTTCACATATGGGACCATAGACGTCAACAACAATGAATATAAACATTCAACATTCTTGAATCAAATGCTTTGCTCACACACAGAGTTTAGAAAACCGAAGTCGATAAAATTTTACTGGGTTTTCAAACAGCTGAGTTTTCAGTAATCAACTTAGTAGTTTTTACTTTTACTGAAAACTCCGTAAATCGCAGAATCTCTGAACTGTCAAAAAATAACGTTTAAGTCAGTAATAAATTTGCTGTCTATATTAGTAATTTATTTGTTGACCTTTATTTTTTGCTGAGTTATTTAAGTATTTTTATTTCAGCATGTTGATTTCTTTATGGTATCATACAATGGGTAGGATTAAAATGATTAAATTTTTTTAGGATTTTTATTTAGGGGCGAGGTTAACAAGATTATCGCTTCCTGGTGGTTCGGCCGGTTGGTGCTCTCTTGGTGTGCGGATTGCGTGTCTATGTCTGGAGCTCTACAGGCAATATTAGTGGATGTTTTTGCTTAAAAATCAGTGAAATATCTGGAAGTCTATGCAGGAGTGCATAAACTACCCAATTCCGTGGCAGGTTCATGTTTCAGGTAGCATTGGCTTCCAGACTCACTTCACTTATTTTCACAAAGGTTTTATCTAGGGTTTTCTATTAACACACAAATTTCCGTGGTAAAGTGCGCGAGGTGAAGTGGAGGAGGATGACGCTCCATCAAGTTGACTTACTGGTGAGATCAGCAATTTTGGCATTTCGTTTGATGACTGTTCAGTAAAACATAATGAATACTGAAAACTCGGTACTCTATTTTACTGAGTTTTAGTCATTCACCGTAAATCTGTTATTTTACGAAAAAAACAGTACTTGCTATCACCGTATTCAGTTGTTTGTCACAAAAGCTAAAATGACGTTTATTACCACTCGAACTTTGAAATAAAACATTATTTTGAGAATTTTTCTTCTAGAACCTCGATAAAAGTAGCCAACATTTGTGCGTTTCATAAAAAAAAAGAAATTAGTTGGTCCAGTTTTGTGAAATCGCTGGTAGAAAGTCACGCCAAAACTGCTTGACAAAGTGGTCAATAGCTGAATGTTCGGTATTTTTTGTGGATTACAGTTCGAAAACTATACAAAAAAAAAAAAAAAAAACCGCACAGAGAAGCCATGATTAAGTGTGCACGAGTTACATTATGAATAGTGTAACATAAGACTGACGTGAGAGGGTTGTGCTGAAGTGAAGGTATGTTGAAATGCGATCACACCCTACTGCTTATCCGACTGAACATTGAACACTGAACAGCTTCAGTTAATTCTCATGACAGGTATATTTAGGCATACATAATCGTGCACGTGTTTCGATTTATCCTATTTTTTTCCCTAAAGGGGCTGTTCATATACTACATAGATAGTTGAAGGGAGTTGGCGATTGTCTACGGTCCATACAAATACAAAA